GGAGAAGCAGTTGTTGCTGCCAGAGGGTGCTAATGTCGCTGTCGCTTGCGCAAATTTGAGTCACCGCCGTTGTCGGTGGTGCTGCCAGAGAGTGCTGATGCCGCTGCCGCTTGCGCAGATCTGAGTCACCGCCACTGCCAGTGCTGCCAGAGAGTGCTCATGTCGCTGCCGCTTGCGCAGATCTGAGTCACTGCCGCCGCCGATGCTAAGAACAGAGGAAGGGCTTGTCCTAGAGCTAGGGGTGAGCGAGTAAATGGGGTGAGGTTAGATTTCACGCCATCTCGCCTCCGCCGACTTTTTTCTCCCGACATCTTCACCCAATCCCCCCTGCACCGCGGCGTATGTCGTCCTACTTTTGCACCCGACTCAGACTGGCTCGCTGGAAATGGCCGGTTAGTGTTTCCAGTGAGTCAGCCTCTGAGTTGTTTTAAGTTTGGTACCGATGCGAATCATGCCTCCCAGTATGCAACTAAACAAGCTTTTTTTCTTACTGCTGAGGCCTAATTGGATTGTATGCAGGTAACCAAATGTAGGTTAACTCAATCTACCCTTTTCTAGCTCGCTCAAGTTGCTTCCCTGTGAGGACGTCAGCTCTATATTATTTCGCAAAAAAAAAACTCTATATATGAAAATCGAGCTGTATTTTATAGAAGTATCAGCATTGACAAACCGAGGAACTGTATTTACCAAAACAAATAAACCGAATGTGCAGAGTTTTTTTTTTCTTTTTCTTTTTGCGAATGGATGTGCAGAGTTACTTGAAGTTGACACTGATGAGATGAAATTTGCAAGATCGTGACTGCAATTTTCGTTCTCATCAGTGTAGAGCCAAGTGAGCCAACATCATCCTCTCCTTGTCCTTGCCTGTCTTCTGACATCATCACACTCACTCGATCACCCACTATCCTTCCGTTCCCAGCCAGCAGCTAGCATAGCAATCACTCCCCCTTCGCGATTTCATCCTCCCCGACATCTCCGATAGCTGCCCATCCCCCCCTAGAGTCGTCAATCTCTACTACAGGTATGGTGCTTGCTCTCGTACATCTCCACGCACGATCCCCTCCTTCAATTCGCTGTCTCGTACGGCCCCGCTCTCGCTCGATTTGCTGTCGATCTCCGGCTGATCGGCTGCTCTGCGAGACCCCGTGGGGGGCCTGGCAGATGAGACCGCCGTGTTCCTGTGGATCTTGAATGATCCCCGACTGTGAGGTGCAGTGAAATGATTGAAGTTGCGTCGGAGATTCAGTGCCGATTGTATGTCCTCCCGCTGTTTTCTTCTCAATTTGTCGCCAGACCCAGTCCCAGGGTCTTATCTTTAAGCTCAGTATAGGACACCTCCTTCCTATGATGTTCCAGTAAGCAGCAGGTCAAGTGTTCGACCTTGGGCCTCACAAGGTTTCTCACTGGTTGCCGCGGGCGAGCAGAGCGGACTGTTTGAGGTTTGCTCCTCCGATCATGAACAAACGCTTTGTACTTCCGAAGACGTATCCTCCTTAATCATGTCGATTAGCCCAGCCTTGATTTGAATGTGGCTCTGTGTTTTGTGCGTCTGGGTAGTGGGTAGTGAACTTTTGAATGTGTTCTGTGGTTTCAAGTGTTGAATGTTCGTATGAATTGGTGCTAAGCCGTAGCTCAGCCTATCCATTTTTGGAGACGTGGTAGAGGAGTCACATCAGGTGTGCAGTCACACTGTCAATGGACATTGTACTTGAATAGTTTGATCTGAAGCCATTTCAATCTGCCTTTTACTCTTCTATTTCCCCCATGTTGTCAGTGACCAACAGTAGGAACTCACTGTTTTGCCCCCATCAATTTGCATCTACCCTGAGACCGTACAAAAATCCTGACCACTTCGTATCGGTTCGGCCGTTTAGGCTTTATATATAAAAGCTGGGCGAAAGCCTGTTTCGAGGAGACTGAACAAAAATCAGTTATGATACGCATTCTTGCAGTAAAAACTTCTCTATGTAACTCCTAACTTCAAAACAGTGAAACTAGATTATAGAAATTGTTGACAAGTTGTAGTGCTCAATTATTGGCAAGTTTCTACACCTGAATGGATATTAAGTCAAATTTTGTGCCGCGAGTTTCTTCGGAGCTGTACCCCTGTTGCATTGCTTCTGTATATGTACCTTTCTATAAAATCTGCAGGATTAGAATTTTAACCATCTTGGCTGAGTCTGTTGTGATCAGATTATCTTCTTTAGAGAAGCTATGATTAGATTGTCAGTAAGCTTTTGTACCAAATTGAATAAATCAAGTTTGGCACTGCAAATGTTCGTCTGACGGCACTTTACTCCACAAATGGTATTTGCAGCGTGATTCAGATATTTTAGTTTACAAACATGTTTTATTAATACTGCTGCATCATCTTATCACTAGTATTTTGGCCTCACTCGCCTGGGTATCTTTTTTCAAATGCAATAGGCTGATATTCTTCTATGCTTCATGGCATAATCTTAAAAGAAAAAACTGTAAATTTCTTATAAATTCAACCTCCATCAGCAATCATACCCTTTTGGATTTGACGAGTTAATAGGAATCGAAACAAGAAAAAGAATGCTAAAAATAATTCTGCCCAAGGTCAACCAATGGAATATGGCAGGGGCCGTGGCCTTAAGGAGCTTGCCTATGCATGCTAGGCCTCCATTCCTACAATAGTCAGTGGTAGCAGTAGGGTTTTGGCTTTCTTCTTTCATACCCTTTAGGCTTATGTTGGTTTTTTCAGTTCTTTCTGGTTTTGCTGGTTTACGCATGTAAACTTTGCACCAATCTTGGCGTTCTTCTAATAAAAGACGCGTGTTCGAGAAAAAACAAATTGGCTCAAAGATCAGGGGAACCCAAGTGATAGGTTGTCTACTAAAAAAGAGAAGGGCAGCTCTGAAAGGTGGCCACTATGTATTTATAGTTCTTTCGGACATATATAGAGACTTCAATTTAAAGCTCTGTATATGTGTAAAAGATGTACTGGTTTGGTACTAAAGTACTGAAAAATAGTATGCATCTAGTTGGACAGTTGGTCATATGTAAAGAAAGATCTGAGCCGATGTATGGTTAAAATTCAGATATTTGCATCAGGTGAATGACCTCTAAACATTATATGTAGCAGAAATGGAGAATAATCTACCAGTCAATATTCGCGAGTATCAAGAACTCGCCAAGAAAGCACTGCCAAAGATGCACTATGATTATATCAATGGAGGAGCAGAGGATGAACACACATTGAGGGACAACATTGCAGCATATGGAAGAATTTTGTACTGTTCCTATACTGCCTCTTCTAGGTAAAATCTTCATTGACCTGGAGAGTTTGGACTTGAAGATTTTCTCGATGTGTATTCTGCAGGTTGCGACCTCGGGTTCTTGTAGATGTCAGCAACATAGACATGTCGATAAACTTATTGGGATATGACATGCCCTCGCCCATAATTGTTGCACCAACAGGATCACACAAATTGGCAAATCCAGAAGGTCTCATAGTTCAAAGCTTACTTTAGAATGTCAAAATATGACATCTAAACTCTGTAATATCTCTACATCTCTTGTTTCAATGCTAATTTCAGGGGAGGTGGCTACAGCAAGAGCTGCAGCATCATGTAATACCTTAATGGTTGGTGTCAACTGACAATTAATGATCTTTCAGTCGTGTTTCATCCGTCAATTGCTATACATGTTCATATTTGTCAAGTACAGGTGCTATCCTTCTCAGCCAGTTGCAAAATCGAGGAAGTTGCCTCCAGTTGTAATGCGATTCGTTTTTATCAGTTATATGTATGACATCTAGACTTCAAGCTCGATATAATTCCTTTCCTGATAATGTGATCTCTGATTTTGTTTTATTTAAAAACATTTTAGGTTTTTAAAAACAGGGATGTTTCAGCAACATTGGTGCGGCGGGCTGAGAGTCATGGATTCAAAGCAATTGTTTTAACAGTTGACACTCCTATGCTCGGTCGACGTGAAGCAGATATCAGAAATAAGTACAATTTTATCTTCAAAGTTCTTTTAAATATTTTGTACAACATTATGTTATTTTTCCTTCTACATATACTAACCTATTTTTTGTGGCAACTACGAGACAAGACAATATGCTTCTATTTAAAGATAGAATTTTTTTTGGCGGGTGAAAGATAGAGTTTATGTGTTAGGACTTTAATGTTCGCATATACTTTTATTAGCTCAATGTACTCTCTCCTTCCATCTATAGGGCCTAATGCGTTTTTCGAGGCTAACTTTGACCAAGTGTTAGAGCAATAATATATGACATGCAAGTTACACAAAGCATACCGTCAAATTCATACGTGAAAGGAGCTTCTAATAATATAATTTTCACATTATACATCTCATGTATTATTAATCTTATCAATAGTCAAAGGCGGTCTTGAAAGCCGCATTAGGCCCTATATAGATGGAAGGAGGGAGTATACCTGATCAATCTGAATGTTATTGTCATTATGTTTGTACCATCTTAATAATATTCTTTGTTCGAGAATACCAACTTAATAATATGATATAACTCGATTCGCTGCGGTTAAAATTTGATAAGCCTACAAATGTCTCATGCCTGAAATCGTACCTAAAAGATATTTATATGGCCTTTGAATGTTGTAAACAGACACCATGGCACAGAATTCTTATGTTTGGTTTGCTGATCTTATTGTTCATGCAGAATGGTTGCTCCTGCGAATGCAAACCTCGAAGGTTTGATGCCAATAGATGATCTTGATACTGTGAGTCAATGCCTGCTTGATGGAATATCTTACCTTGAGCATGTTTACTCGAGGATAATTTGTCCGTACTGGACAGATGAACAAAATAGTTTATGATGGATACTACATGAATTCATTTTTTTTCTTTTTGAAAGGCTCGTATTTCTCATCTGCAGACAGGCGGGTCGAAGCTTGAGAAGTATGCGCGCGACACTCTGGACCCGTCTTTATCATGGAAGGTACAGCAAAATTGGCACCCATATGGGCCAGTACTCCAATTTAAAGCTTTAGATCCTACAGCATGTGGGCCAGTACTCCATAAGTATATTCAACAGTAATTTCAAGGACAATTCTGCCACTCTGCACGACCCATCTTGAGGCACGCTATACATTCAAAGCCCTCTAGCAAGAACAGGGTTGCCTCTCAGTAGAGAACGTGCCTTACATATACAGGGAGACAGTAACCTTGAATTGCTCCAGTACTTGGCTGCTGCTGCTGCACTGATGTCCGAAAACAAGGAGCCAATCCTTCAGGGGCATAATGGAAGTTGGAACGTGAATTCTGACATTCTCTCTCCGGTAACCCTGTGTGTAGGACGTGGAGTGGCTGAAATCCATAACCAGCCTGCCCATTCTACTGAAGGGCATCGTGACCGCCGAGGACGGTAAGTCGGTAAACGCTGTTCGGGATCTTCACAGTCATTCAGAGGATAAATTTGTTGATCATCTTTTATCTTTTATACTACATGAAATGCTGAACAACCAGGGGGGGGGGGGGCAAACAGCCAGGAAAGCAGTGGAGGCCGGGGCAGCAGGCATCATCGTGTCCAACCACGGCGCTCGGCAGCTCGACTACGCGCCGGCCACCATATCCGCCCTCGAAGAGGTACACCGCACCATGCCCGTCGTCTTCCATTTTGTTCAAAGGGTGTGTGTGTGCAGTGCAGCATCACAAAGCACATTCTGAAGGCGGTGTATTGTGTGTGTGTGTGTGTGTAGGTAGTGAAGGCGGTGGTGGGGGCGGTCCCGGTGCTGGTGGACGGCGGAGTCCGGCGGGGGACCGACCTGCTCAAGGCGCTGGCGCTGGGTGCGCGGGCAGTCATGGTGGGGAGGCCGGTGCTGTACGGGCTGGCAGCGAGGGGCCAGGCGGGGGCGAAGCACGTGATCGAGATGCTCAACAGGGAGCTGGAGCTGGCCATGGCGCTCTGCGGCTGCCGGAGCGTTGCCGAGATCACCCGTGACCGCGTCCAGACCGAGGGCGACCGGTTCAGGTCGCTGCTCTGATGAGCGACGCGCAGCGGCAGTCGCATTACATACTGCATGCTGTGAAGGACACACTGCATGTGCCAGCGCCCGCATTGGTCATTCGAGATGCTGGTAGTAACTAGCTAAGGATCTGTAAAATGGAAAATTGGATTTGATGATTTGTGCAGCCCTGAGAACAAACTTTGCATTGTTTTGCTGAGAGAAGGATTTTATCCAAACACCCAGCATAAGTTGGATTTTATCCAAAGGATCGTATGAGGTTATTTCTTTTGAGTTCGTATAAGGTTTGAACGGGCGCTTGTATTTATCTGTTCCCAAAAACTTCTCACAGATCCAACCCTAGCACTCTGGTTGATCTATTCAAGTCATCTACTAGTAAACAATTGATCCATTACTACTACAAAACAATCTCTAAGGCTACACTGAGATAGAAATGCGAACACTGAATAATCAGCAGAACGTCCTGCACCACGCTCACAAAAGGAGGTTAGAGTAGGGTATTCATTCGCAACTTGTAGCTGCATGCAAGCAATGGTCCAAGCAAACTAACGCAACCACGCAATTGGTTTACAGTAGTAGCACAACACAATGGGCAGACATAGCCCACACATGTTACGGTAACATAACATTGTCGCGGCAGTTCAGTGCCAAAGATTGCATATAGCTACTAGGGCAAAGTTTAGTTGCAGCACGGAGCCTCCCATTCGAACAGTCTACCAGCTCTAGTCCCCGCCAACCTGACGCTTCCACGAGTCCTCCACAATGAGCTCGTCAACTCCCCAGTCCTCGTAGCTATTTCAAAACAAAGTAAAAAATGAGGCTATAGCACATAATAGCCAGCAAAGAGAGGTGATGATTGGCTTTTCCTTTAAATCTCACCTTCCATCAGGTAAGTAGCGCCTAATCGTGAAGGGGATCTTACGTGCTCTCAGTTCTTTCATGGCAATCTGAAGATGCACAAAGATCAGCGGAGCAGGCAATTCAATAACTAGAAATGAGTCAAGCGATGGTAATACTATGTTCTACAGTAAATGGGAGCAAAAACCATCCAAGTAGTGTTTGTAATGGACAATTGACAAACAAGGCCGAATTTCATTTCATTTACCCATTGCAAGAGCATTATTACTTCTCAAAATATCGACCATTTCATGGTTTTTCTGCTCTTACCTAAAACTATTCAGATTCTTTTTGTTTTGACAAAACAGAACATATATTGTAGAATGTGGTTTCAGAGAAAGGGGTAGAACCATATACTCCCTCCGTTCGGAATTACTTGTCTCGGAAATGGATGTATCTAGAACTAAAATACGTCTAGATACATCCATTTCTGCGACAAGTAATTCCGAACGGAGGGAGTAGGTGATTAAGGCCCTGTACAATGCAAGGTGCTTAGGGGAGGTGCTTAGAGAAATAAACCAGGCTCTCCTTAAGCATCGGTGCTTATTTGTACAGGATAGACGCTTAACTAAGCGTCTCTCCTGTAGAAATAGGCACCGGTGCTTCAGAAAAACTCGGTTTATTTTTCTAAGCACCTCCCTAAGCATCTCTCATTGTACAAGGCCTAACAAGGGCATCCTTTTGGTATAAAATGGTGTGAGTTAGTGGTTTACTACTTACAATCCCTGTTCATACAACTGGAGTAAATAAGAATCCTAACTATCTAGTAGCTACATGTACATAGGTACAATGACTAAACTAGATTCAGTAGACAAATAGAAACGCTTATTAACTTCTGTTATATCTAGCTCTATGCTTTATAAGGAAAACACATACTTACAAGGTAGACTAATACAGCAAGAAAATTTCCATAATTGCACATAAGAACATTTCCTTGTACTGGCATATTGAAACTTCAAACTAACAAGTGCCTAATTAGATGCAATATTACAAAGCAAGAATCCCAATAATTCAGTAGAACAATGAAAACACATCAGTAACTAGTTGGATTGCCGACCCCGTGATCCTAAGAGACTATACACTACCAATTATTTAACTATCAAACATATCTACGTTATCAAATTCATAAACATATAAATATTTCCAACAATGTTGGATATTCATTAGTTAGCATGGAGTAGTTCAATATAAAGTACTCCCTCCGTCCAGAAACAAGTGTTGCTCAAACGGATGTATCTAGCACTGAAATACATATAGATACATCCGTTTGAGCAACACTTATTTCCGGACAGAGGAAGTAGATTCCTAGATCACCACATCAGAATGTCAATCTTCTCATTGCAAAGCCTATTCATAAGTTTATATAGCTCCATATAAAGTAGATTCATAAATAAGCATGGCCGTTCTTATACCTGGTACACAGACTAATTCCACAGTATCAAGGCAATCAATCTCTACTTTAAAAGCAAATTTCCATCTAAACATACAACAAAACAAGTGGAACTAAAGAATGAAAGCAAACAGCCAAGGCTATCATCTAACTGGAAGCCAGCATTAAAAGCATATGTAAGCAACAAATTATACGACTTTACCTCAAGAGGATCAGTTTCACCCTCAAGCTCAACCATAACTGGGGCATTCATGCTACAAAAATCAATGGGTCAATTACTTCATTAAATGAACTCATTAACAGGAATGTGTACTCAGATATAAGTATACCTTATCTGCAAAGCACGTGTGCCAAGGATGCGTGCCCGCTCATACTTGGTCATATATTTTGTTGTATTGCGTGGACGGGCAGTCTTTTCCTGTTCCTTTTCTTCACCTTCACCCCCTACCACGTCATCAGGGGCATCCTCGTTGTTCTCAGGATCTTCTTCAACCCCTTCCTATTCAACAGTAATACATCAGTTATACTTAAATGAAGCTGCAAGATCTTCCTCTTAAGGATACCATCAGTATAGGAAAATAGTGACGGATCTGCACCTCAATATCAGCCTCTGGAGGCTCATCCTCGTACCTGCATAAGAAATGAGGAATTGTAACTCAAAATTCAATCGATGAAATAAACTCTGATAGGTACAATGGCATGAGAAGAGAAATAGAAGGATCAATATTGACCCCAAAGTAAGTGCGGAAAAAAATTATATGAGACAAATTATATGAGACCAGGTCTCATATAATTCGGGTGAGACCCACCCTGATGGATGACACGTGACATTCACAAATCACAAAGCATCTAATCTCTCCCCCCCTGATTTATATAAGACCTGGTCTCATAAAATTATTTTCCTATCTATAAATGGTAATTCTAAGCAACCATATATTTTTGTTTAAGCAATTAGACACATAGTGTCACTTGATGACAGTGGCATCCTGAAAAGATCAGACTTTGAGTACTTGACCAACTAATGCATTAATTCTTCACCACCAAATCACAAATGGAAGGCCGAGCTGAAATTTTTCATCCCAATTAGAAGCAAGACCTTACAGCTCCTGCTAACTTCGATGGGAGCATCAACAACTAATCTTTTAACTCAAACATTTGCCGCCTTGAAAAGTTGTATAGCCGCAATTCAGGGGCCCAATTTCCAAATCAGATGGAGACCAAAGCCTAAAGTCATGTCCCCTGGCCACCGGAGGACCTTGTATTTCACGATGTTGGCCAACTTGAAGACAAAATATTGCCCTGTCAGATGACAACCACGCGAGCCTATTACCCGTGAGAATCAGTGCGAACTCAAAATCAGCACCACGCGCTTTCGAAACCCAACCAACCATACCCAGGGCCTGATTCTCACCACTTACTTCCGTGCGGAGCGCAAAATCAATCATCAAGGGCCAAGTTTCTGCAACCCGAATGCTATCAAGAAACGAAGGGAACAGGATCGTCCTAACGAAGACGCTGCCTACCCAAACCCTAGCCTGGATTACCGTGATCACGAGAGAGAGAGAGAGAGAGAGAGAGAGAGAGACGAACCCCATGTCAACTTCATTATAGTCGTCGTCCGCCATGGCTGCCGCCGCCGAGCGCTCCGGTCGCTAGGGTTTCGCCGCGGGAGGAAGCCTCGGGCGTGGGGATTGTGGTGGGTGTTCGCCGACAGGTGGAAAGGGGAAGAAGTTATTAAGGAAGTACCCGATGCGGGCACGCGGCTGCCTCTACTTAATCGGGCTCTGGCTCGGGTTTGCGCCCACTGCAGGCCCAGGCTGATGATGGCCCGGCCCGGTTTTGCGCCCTCTCGTGCTTGTTGAGACCCAGAACGGATCGTAGGCAGCTCAATTTCGGAATTGCTCAAAAAACAAAAGCCAGCTCAATTGGCCAGGAGGATACCCCTAAAAAATGCCCAGGAGGATAATTCTCAAAAAATAAAACAGGATGATCTAACAACGAAAACAATCATATAAAATTATTAATTTATTATAAAATTTTACTCCCTTTTTTTGCATGGTAAAAATCTACTCCCTCTGTTCCTAAATACTATAACACTTTTTAGAGATTTCAATACGGACTACATACAGAGCAAAATGAGCGAATCTACACTCTAAAATATGTCTATGTGCGTCTGTATGTAGTCCCTATTAAAATCTCTAAAAGACTTATATTTTAAAACTGAGGGAGTACATGATGTATGGGAAAATGATAGGGTGGTCCAAACCGGTAGGAGCAGCAAGCGAAGAGTGGAGCGACATGACGGTGTGCCGTGCTCGGCTTCTTATCAGCTGCTGCCGTTATAAACTGGCATGTAGAATTGGGAGGGCGGTGGCGGCATGTTTCACCCGTGTTGAACGTTGCAAGGTGGACGAAGCAGATGAGTGTGTATGAGGTTGTAAAACTCATTCGAAATTTCCGTATAACTTTGTTCAGGTTCCAATATGTCTCAGGGCTTTAGAAGGCCAGAACTGAGCTCAAATCATCCTGGGCCCTCAGAAATCATCTAGGGGATGCTCGTACATTTTCCTCTGAGATGTACTAGAAGGCAAGGCCAAACCTCAACGGACAACCAATCCTTTATTGTCAACGGACAACCAATCCTTTATTGTAGGATAAATCTGTTTGATTAGAATTTGGACGCTGGATTCATGAACAAGAATTCCAGAGCTCGCTATCGATGCACCTTTTT